TTGATTGGTTGACAAAAATATTGTAACCATAGGCTCACAGGAACCTAACTCTGTATTTCCCCTAGGAGAATGGTTCAGGATTCACTAATCCAGTGTTCACAGTGACTTATTAGAACATAACTATCACAAATAACAAAAATTGACTGTATATTCAAAATATAATCAGAATGGCCTAGTGAGCAAATGTGATTATTTCAAAAGAAGTGCTCATGACTCATTTATCATTTCCATTTAGGTCAATCTTTTTCTCCTCTTAAGTTAATGATGTTTGATCGATACATTCAAGTTTTCTCTTTGGAGAAAAATGAAGCATTGTAGTATCCCTTTGACTATTTTGGACATTGGCCCTAAACACTAAAAGACCCTGGAAATATTAAGAACGATATTAGTATCATTTGAGTGTATCTTTGGGGGTACAATGTGGTTTGAAGTATTAGAATTTTAGATTTTAATTTTATCAGAACATTTACATGATGCTTTTAATAGCAATGGCTAGTGATTGTTGAGTGACTCATGGAACGGGACCCATACTTGGTACTTTACATATATATCATCCCCAATAACAATCCTGCAAAGTTTACATGGTTATCCTCATTTTATTGATAAGGACACAAGTTGCTCAGAGAGGTTGATTTCCCCAAGAATACCCACTTGAGGAGTGCAGCAGGAATTCAAAGCCAGGTCTGTTTGCTTCCAAATCCTAATCTCTTTCCACCTTTTGCACAGCATCATAGCCACACACACCTTCACATATTTGACAGAGTGGTGAAAAATGACTTTTCTTCAAACTTAATTTTTGTTACCAGAAATTGTAAAACCATGCAAGCCTATGCAGAAATCTATTTTCTGGTAGTTTTTATTATCTAGTACATTTTAAAGCCTTGATTCAGAAACAAGAATATTAGCTTTAGTGAATTGGATCTTATAAATATCCTGATCTTAGGCTTTTTAAAATGTTATAAAAATTACTGCCAAAGTGCTACTAATGTTTTGGTTGAGAGAGATTCTTGTAATTTAGACATGGCCTTAGAATGGGAAGTATCTTGGGAGAACATGGAACTTTTGACTTTAATAATATTTAACATTTTTCTTACTTTAGCAGGAACTCAGGGAGTGAGCTACAAGTATATTATGCTTCACCCAGAAGTTATCAAGACTTTTTTGAAGCCATCCGCAGAAGGGGAGACACATTTTATGTTGTGTCATTTCGAAGGGTAAGTTCATCTTGAAAGAATAAAGCTAATGTTTTTGAATGCCTGCTGTATATAAGATGTTGGGTGAATATTTTGGAAGGTACAAGTATGTGAGAGATAGGAAGCAATATAAAATAAAGTATGTGAGTGGGACAGTGTAAGTGTTATAATACATGCTTTGAGCTTTTCAGCATTATAAAAATGAACATGAAATTGGTGTCAGTCTATGAGTTTATATTTAGAAAATATAAACTACTTAATGATTTTTATTCTTTGTCATCCTGATAGCCATACTGTTTGTTTATAACCAAAGGAAAAGTAAAAACATAAAAATATTTTATTTAGGCTTTTCCTATTTAGGCTTTTCAAGCCAATTCCCATTTGGTTATTGAGAAAGAGACTTCTGAAATGTAGGTTTAAGATGAGTCATGGGCAGGTTAATATATTAATTGTGGAATGTTTGGATCTGTGTTCCTAAAATGTTCTGTCCCTCTTGTCTCTCTTGATCAAACATTTGATTGGTGAAGAGTATGTTAAATAATCAGCTAGCTTATGCAAAAGTAAATGTTTATACGAGCACTTTTGAATATTATGAATGTTAGACTAAATGGAAAAAATGCATAGCTATTTACATTTCATCTACTTTTTCTATAAAATGAAAATGCGGTATATATTCTTCATAGAGTTGCCATGTGAATGTCTTTGTTAGAGTGCTGTATGTTAACCCAGGAGCACATGGATGAATTAGAATTTCTTGATGGTTTGTATCCCAAGCCTTTTTTTCTTCCTTTTTTTAATTTTAGGAGACAGGAGTCTGACTGTGTTGCCCAGGCTGAACTCAGACTCCTAGTCTCAAGCAACCAAGTTGCTGGGACTACAGGTGTGCACCTCCGTGCCTGGCTTATTTTTTTTTTTTTTTAAAGAATATAGGAGGGTGTGGTTAGAAATAAGTACAGTTGACCCTTAAACAATGCGGGTTTGAGCACATTTATGTGCAGATTTTTCTCAACCAAACAAGGATCGAAAATATAGTATTCTTAGGATGCAAAACCCATGCATATGGAGGGCCGACTTTTCATATAGGCGCATTCCACAGGGCCTACTGCAGGACTTGAATATGCAGGGATTTGGGTGTACAGGGGAGGCCCTGGAATCAATCTTCCATGTATACTGAGGCATAACTGTATATACTAACAACAGAATAAATAATTCATTCTCTGATTATTATTATTGCTCACTCTCACTGAAATTCTCAGTTAGTTAATTATTTTCCTAAGGTATAAATATCTAGCAGCTCAGATTTTCAGGACCAGAGAACTTTGACACTTGAAGACTAGGGAGATCAAACATTTTATGTATTTTCAGGTATTAATCAAATATGCTAGGAGATTTGGAATACTTTAGCCATGGCATCTCATGATCTCTGCCTTTTTGCAAAATTCCCTGTGCTCACTTTACTCTCTTGGGCATAATTGGTATATTTCTATACTGCATCAGCTTCAAAGTTTCTTTTCAGCAGTACAGGGGCAGCTGAGAATGGGGTTTCTGGCCTGGCTCCAACTGTATTGGCTGATGAAAAACAAAGTATTTGCTTTACTGTTGACTTAATTATGTTCAAAGTTGGGGGGAAAAAGTACACTTTTAAGAATGGGATCCAGCACTATGAAGAAGAGACTTGCTGGGTTTAAAACGATTGTGTTGAAATGTATGTTAAGTTACTACAGAAGAATGTTTTTAATACTCAAATAACCAAATAGTTTTTCTTAGGTTCAGGATGATTATTATTTGATCAAAATAATATAATGTATATTAGAAGTAGCAATTATCAAGCCATGGCTTGAAGTCATGGTTAGTAATGCTTTTCTAAGGGCAGAGAATAAGAATTTTTATAGAGAGAATAATCCTAGCTTTAAAGGGACCACATTTTTATAAAAGAAGATGAATGGTGTTCTTTTGTAAAATATATGCATTGCCTTTTTTGCATTTGTGAAAAGCTATTTCTAATTGGTTTACTGTAAAAGTACTGTTGGAAAATCATTGTCCACCCCTACCCCCCAAGCCTTTAATGTTCAGAAAGACTGTTAGAACTCTCTCTCATTCTGTTTGGAGCTATCATTTTCTAATTACTGATTTATCACATTTTGGCGTTTATATGAAGGAAGAGTCAGGATAAACCTCAGCTTAATTAGGTAATAGTAGTTAGACAACATTCTGTTTCGTTTTTTTTTCTTCTGTTTTGTTTTAATAGTAGGAAAAAGGAGGTTAATTTTATCTTGATGACTATAAACCATGTTATGGGATAGGAATTTAGTTCTTAAATACCTGGATTGTTCTCTTTGCTCTTGCTAAAATGAAAATGAAAAAAGTAATGAATTATCTCACGCTTCTTCTTCTCTCCTGTCTTTCAATCTGAAACATTCTCCTAACAATTTCATCAAAAAGGCATGTGGCATCATTTCTTGTGAAGAAGGGTGTAGATTTTTTCTCCCACTTATGCTCTTAATTTCATTGGCAGAAATTATTGTAAATGATCCTGCATTGGAAATTCAGAAATACAGAGATTCTGAAACCTCAAGTTTTTGCTTAGCATGAACCAGACATTTATAACAAAGTCAATAAGCATGCCATATTGTTTTCTTTTATAATTGGAGGTGTATTTAACAAAGTATTTTAATATCTTAAAGCATAGAAGTAGCCATTGACCATTTAGTATCCCATTATTTAATAAACAACTCTCTTCCAAACTTACACTTCCTCACAACCTGCATTCCTGTACCCTTTAATCTCATTACAGTTGAGCTGCTGAAATTATTTTCTCTAAAGTAGACACACTGTTGGATGGCTTTTGAGTTCCTGCTGTAGGTCAGCAAGAAAGAATGCTTGTGATCCCAGTAATCCTGACAAAGGCTCAAAACTTTTTCTCTTCTTTGACTTTCCTTGAAGAGTTTTTACCTGTAACATAGTAACCTATTCTGCTTTCTTTGTTTAGTTCCAAGTATTCATAACTTATTTTCCTATAAGTACTTTGCCTTTTTCTCCTCTCTTTGACTTGTTTTAGTATGATTTGGAGAGGGGAGTATAGGAAATAACTTTTTCTCAAACTTCCAAATCACTTTGCCTATGTTATAAATCATATATTAATAAGAAAAATCCAACTAAATTTAATGCTTATTTTTTAATGCTTTTATATGACTGTCTATTTAGGGAGGGAAGAGGTTGATTAAAAAATATAGCAATGAATTCAAGAGCGTGGGACAGAAACAAATATTCAGGAAACCTCAAGTAAAGTTAGATAAGAAAGTGATTTTAAAGGGGCAGAAAAGATAACATTGAGAAGTAAGGTAGGAAAATAATATTAATTTATAATTTCAATAAATATTCAAACACCATCCTTAGATACTGCCTTCTCATCCACTATTATGTAGGGAAAGGATTTTTTTTCATCTTTCTGGGGCAGTTCTTCCTTAAGAACAGGTTCTCTTTGATTCAGAGGGCTATGAATGTCACTTTGCCACATTATCTCCGCTTATTTGATACTTCTTTTTTCAAATGAGATGAATGCCTACTTTTAGAACTTATTTCTTTTATATTTTGCTTTCAGTACCTGTCCCTCAAATCAAAAGTAAACACTTAAAAGTATCTTTTCATCTGTTTCAAATACATATATAACGTAACAGAAGAATCTGAGCTGTAGCTATCCGCCTGCGGCAGAGCCGTTTCTCTCTCCCTTTCCACATATTTTAGGTATTCCAGATATAGTGCCATATTTGGGTATTTCACCCCTTCTTGGTCCCTTATAAAAAATTTGTTAACACTGTCATGTACATATGGCATGGATAATAATAGGAACTTAAGTAATAGGGACTTACTGTAAGATAAATGGGAGTTGAAGAAGCACAGGAAACTGACTCAGCATCCAAACAGTCCCTCTGTGCTTGTGCTTCACAGAATGAAAATGGACACTAGTTCTTACAGAGAAGGGGAACAGTGGCTTGTTGTCATTTCTGATTCAGCAGCAGCTCCAGTGATTCCGCTTTAGTCTTTTTCACACATTGCTGATTGAAACTCCTCAAGCACAAAGACGATCTGATTGGGTAGTTAGTCACTATTTCTTATGAAGAATTGCTCTGGCAGTCTTGGCTCATGATCCAGGGTCCCTTCATTTATTTCGTTAAATGTATTCTCTTGCTTTGTAAGCTGGCAACTTTATGCAGAAGGAAGAACCTAGGTCCACTTTTTTTGAGAAAATGATTGTGGCAGGCCCTTGGAGCTTCATAAACTATTAGACCACACAACCTGCTTTTTAAAAAAAATTCTTTCTTGTATTGGTTCCTAATTGTTTGATCTAAAAGGCTCATCTTCTCATCCTTTTAAAAGCAGGAAGTATCATATGGTTTTGTATCACCACGCTGGCACTGAGCACAATGCGTGCGACTCAGTGCTTACTGAACAGAATAGTTTTAGGTGTGTTTCACTGAGGGAAGTCGCAATGATGTAAGTTTGTTGTTTTTCATAATCATTTAAAAGGTATTTTTACATTGTTTTGCTTAAAGAAATTTGAATCTATTTTACTAATCCAAGAAGTAACATAAGCTGTGCTGAATTCCAACAGAAAGTTTAGTTAGAGATGATCTCTCTTTTGTCCATTTATGGTTGTGCTAGCCAGAGATGCATCAGCTTTATTTCTTGTCTGAATATAAGCTTTAGAGCTAAAGAAACCACCTGCATGCGGTGTTAAACAGCTTTCTACACTAATAGGTAGAACTTTGAAGTGCTTGCATCCTCATTTGTTAATATTTGGTGGAAACATTTTGGAATGGATTGTTAGACCTCACTGCTTTTCTTTTTTGGAGAAGAGATGGTGTCTCCTATTTGTACAGATTTGAGCAGCGTGAGCCAGAAACTTGAAACTTTGGAAAAACCATAGAAAACGCCCTGAGTACTGCAAAAAGGTTAACTGGTGATATTATTCATTCAAAGTGTTTGCCAAAGGTTTATTCCCATGGATGGCCATAAAAAAG